GTTTGTCTCTAAGTGTGTCCCTGTGATGGACTTGTGACCTGTCCAGGGTGTACCCACCCCTTGCACTGTGACTGCTGGATGTGGGCACCAGTAGCTATGTTTACATGCACAAAATTTTTTGATCGGATTGAAATGTATTTGGATTAAATAATCCGAATGTACTGTTTACATGGACACAATCCGATCATGAAAAGTGTTTACATGCACCGGAGTTTTATTTAGAATAAAAGTCCGGACATGCGCCATGTTGTAAACTTTCAGCTCTACTTCCAAGTTACAACCGTAAACAAAGCTCCTCTGTGCGCTCAGGACGGACCCGTGTCAGCTTTTAATAACGGTAGAGACGTCGTTACTCATCTCCTCGGTTGAGCTGCAGCCTGAAGATGAAGTAATACGTGCTTTTTATTTTTATTTTTTGCGAAGCAACGTCTGCTGTTTTGCCTCCTTTTTCATCTGTTAAGAGAGCGTGGAGGAAAAGTTCTGCACGGTGCTGCGCAGCTGGAGCGCTGCTGTCTCACCTCCTCTAAACCGGGTGAATGAAAGTCAGCAGACATGCGCACACAGGTCAGTTTTCTACAATCAGAATAAGATGATCTGATTAAGTGTTTACATGAACGTCATTCCGATAATCAATCGGCATAACCCACCCTTTTCATTCAGATTAAAAATTCATTCGGATCGAGCTCAATGGGATCAGAATAATTGGAACGGGCTGTTTACATGAAGCATTTTTATTCCGAACGGCCGTTTAATCAGATTATTTTGTCCATGTAAACATAGCTAGTGACCCATGCGACCCTAAAAGGAAGAAACGTGTACAGAAGATGGATGGATGGATGATCCGATCCTTACCTGTTAGAAAGTGTTCGATGCAAACTCTCTTCCTGTTTTTAGTCATTGATTGTTGATCCACTTTTGTCATATTTTTTCTGTAATTTTTTTAAAATTAACTCACTTGTGACACACTATTTTCAGTACGCAATTTTTAAAAAAATATTTCTCTTGATTAGAGTGGTTGCAATAATCGTACATGGCACAGATTTTAGGCATTTTGACGCTGAATCAACAGCAGGAAACAGGGCTGCATTTACTTCCTGCCCCGTCTGCATTCTGTAACGTCGATACTATGCCATCTCCAACCCAGCAATTGGAGAAGCCTTCAAATTTGGACATTCTTCGATGCGTTGCTGCAACGTGATCAGCTTTCATATTTGGCCTTTGAAGGACACAGCCCCTGAATTTGGACAAAGCCAGTGTCGTTGTTGGAGGTGTTGAAATTGATCGAGCTGGACACAAAGTGTGGAAAGAGAAGCTGCAGACATAACAGTTTAGGCTGATGCCAAAGAAAAAATTGTGCCTCAACTGGAAACAGTTTCTGTTGTGTGGGAAGTATTTCAGCTTTAAAAGCTTGTATGTTTATCAAATGATGGTTTTCTGCAAACTGTCAAGTTAAAGTTGTCATGGCATGGTCCTCCAGTTACAAAAGGAGATTTCATGTCTATGGTCAAAATGCTGGATAGCCAGATCCATTGTTCCAAGAGCTCAGAGGAAACATGAATGAAGGTATGAATGAAAAGAAAAAGACTGTGATACCACTATAGTTGTTAAAAAACACACTGATAAAAAAATTTGGTCACACCGCCCAGCACCATCTTAGGTTAACAACAGAAAAAACAGATTTTCCTCCTCCAACATGCATATCTGCCAACAATGCATGTTCTCACTGTGAAGTAGTTTCTCTTTATGTGGGACGTGTCGTGTGCAGCAGTGGGAGGGTTTACTGGGACTTCTCCCCCGCAAGAAAGAACATCTGACAACCATGTCAGGGAGCTTGAATCTTTGTCTTGTCGTGTATAAACCAGGCACAAGTTTCCACCTATGCAGAAAACATCAACACTGGCTGTTTTGTGGCATATGAAAGGTTAAACCTTCTACTTGTAAATAGCAACAAAACACCTAAAGAAAGAATGAGAAAAGAAAAATAAAACAATCAGCAGTTTCCACAGTTGGCTGGTAAAATTTAGTCTCATTTATTAGGCTTGAATGTAGCAGCGAGTACAGGTTAATTAAAAAAGCCGACTGCGTGTTTAGCACAGTTCAGCCCTTTGCCAGTTTCATTAGCTTCTCTTCAAGGCTGACTAAGAGAGGAATGTGCTGAGAGAAGAGTGCCAACCTTGGCCTTCACCATGGAAGACATTTGAATCAATTACAGGAACGGGACACGAATTCATCACCGTATCAGACTGGATTATACTTTATCTAGCTTTCAATACCTCCTTCAAGATAAAAAGGGATGAAAGTGGATGTGTTTGTTTGGATAAGTGAGTGTGCCGAGATGTGGGAGTCAGGGTCAGAGCAGGAGTGACGACGATGCGATGGCGTATTAATCAAGAGAGGCTATCAGACCCAGAACTCAACATGCCTACAAGCTGGGATGACCTCGTAGCCTTTCAAACACCAACACTTGCCAAAAATGCAAAAATATGCATTTGTGTGTGGATCTGAATCCAAGTTTTGATCACAGTGTTCACAGTTTACTTGAGCTAATAAGCAGAGCTTTAAGTGAGAAACAGAAATTCTTAAAACCTGGTTTTAATGTATCTGTATACACTGGAGGTACAGAGCAGTTTATGTTGCATAATCCCCACCAACACTTAGAAACTAGAAACCAACAACAATGAAACCCCTTTTACCAGGTTCTCCACATCCGTCCTGTTTCACACTGATCCTAAAAACAAAAACTTTGATTGTATTGAAATGATTAACAAATGAGAATACATTTGTAAACAATTCCAAAATAAGTTAGTTTGGGAGCTAAAAACATTCTTATTTTGATTTATAACTAATTTAGACATTCTCGCCTCTTAGTGGTACAGATTAGACATTTCAATGTTTTTTTTAAATGTGTGAATGAAATACATACAGCAAACAAATATAAGCTAAATAAATCCAGAGCAGTGCAGATAGATCCTTAAACTCAGTCATGTAGAAATATTTTCGCTATACATCACGTCAATCTCAAGGCCCACGGGCCAAGTGTGGCCCTCCACAGAATTTTATGAGGCCTGGGAGAGCTTCAAATATGTATTAATGTCTTCACTTTTAATAGCATTTCTGTATTATTCCTTTCACATTTAGTCAGTCGCATACGTAGAACTTTTCATTCTTATAAGAGGACGTGTTGGAACGCTGTTTCTTTGCAGGAAACACCACATAGAGCTCAGTTACTGTTTGTTAGCTGTGCTCAGCCGTAGCAATGAGATGAGGAACGCAACGTTTCATGTTTAGTCGAAGTTCAAAATGAAACGTCTAAGTTAATTACAATTGGCCCTTTGAAGGCCAGCATTATGCTCATGTGGTCCTTGGTGAAAATGAGTTTGACACCCCTGCTGTACACAGCAACTGTACCTGAAAATATTACTGCTGGAAGCATCCAAGGCTTCACCTGAAGCACTGCAGCTATTCATGCTTGTAAAAAACAAAACTATGTACAGTAAGTAACTTTTTTACTCCAAAACAATTGTAACATTTGCCTGAACTATTATTTAATTTATTGGGATTATTGTGGTTTTAAGATGCTAGCAAACCAGTTGGGTCTTAACCCCACTGCAGCTAGCTGATAGCTCATCAATCCTGTCAGAATTATATTGTACTTCTCCAAACAGAGGTTGTTCAAAGTAGGGTTGGGCAATACTGACAAACATTTAGCACAATTAATTGTGACAGCCGATCACACGAATGCCTGATAGTGATAGCGTGTCGTACACACAAAATATGCCATCATCACGTAACATTAATTGCAGTAATTGCAAATATTAATCATAAACTCTTTTACTGAGGATTAACTGCACAAAATACAGTTTTGCCCAACCCTAGTTCAAAACGCTATCTGCAAAAAGTAACATATTTTTTCAAAACCTTTCAGAAGAACCCTACTTCAAAAATTCAAAACAATTAATGGTGTCAGTTGGTAAAGAGCTCTAGTTTAGCGATGAACCCCTGCAGATGATGACCAGGAGACTACATTTTATTTACTGACATTTTTTTTTGCCTATTATCTAGCATTACTTGGGCTTTTTCCAGCTTTAACAAGGCTGCAGCATGCTGAAGTTTGCCGTTCATTTGTCAGGCAGGGACGTGGATTTTATAAACAGTTGTCAGGATATTTTAGGACACGTAGAGCCTGAGCCTGTTCACTCAGGTCCAGCTGCACAGTTTGAAGCGCGTGCTGTTTTGGACAGGCAATATGGGCTCTGTCATTATGTTTACTTGTCGCTTGCTGATGCCTGTGTTCTGCTTAGTCACTGCTGAGCAGAACGCAGCGGGAGCAAACAACAGGACCGTTTCTCTTCACTAGCTCCCCTTCCTGTACCCGAGTTTCCCCTCACTCAAACAGAAACACACTGGCGTGACCTCACACTGCCTCCGTTTTACCGACGGACACACAGAATCAGTCAGAGGGACGAAAAAAGGCAGCAAACAGAAGCATCCTTAATGGCGAGCTGTCACAAAAGGAAGGAGAGCACTTTTTAAAGTACAGCCTGGAGCGTAGAGCTGGACGAAGAGGAGCCCTCGCTGCTTTGATGGAAAGATACAATTTGAAAATGCAACATGTCCATCTCTCAATTTAAAACTGTAGCAGTTTATTATCCAGCTTCAGTAACGGAGGCAAAAACATCTATCATATTAGAAAATCTAACATTTGAATCATAGGCTTATTTTCAATTTGTGTGTGTGTGTGTGTGTGTGTGTGTGTGTGTGTGTGTGTGTGTGTGTGTG